CGTTGAGTCTGCTTTCATAGGCTTCCTCATATAGATGATAGCCCACTTTTCTCGAGAAGTAGCCTATCGACACAATTTGTAATAGTAAATAGTACAACTAGCGTGTGATATTTCACCGCAGAATAGGTGAGTAGTACATCACAACCTCGCAGTAGTACCAACTATAACTACTGTAGTACATACATTTATCTGTACTTGTGCGGTGTTCAGATCAAGAGGAACAGCCTCCCCTGTAAACAGTTAAGCTATACTTTCACCAAGCTCTCAGTAGAACCCACAACAACTACTGTAGTATATATATATATGTATGTACTGGTGCGGTATTCATATTGATATGAACAGCCTCCCCTGCAAGCCGTTGATCTCTAGTTTCATCCTACTGCAGGCTCGCGCTTGTTAACCACCGAGCCAGTCCCCAGATCGACAGGTGTGTATGCACGAGCAATTGCGACTATACTTAGTCGTTCACATCGTGTGACGTTATGGCAGGCAAGCGAGGTACAACTTGCGCCAACTGTTTAGTATTGTGATCCTTGATCTATTGCGGTCTTGTCCTTCATGCCCTGTTATTTATTGCGGCCCTGTCCTGTTCTCTATTGCGGTCCTGTCCTGTTGTTTATTCCGGTCTTGTCCTGTTCTCTATTGCGGTCCTGTCCTATCCTTTATTACGGTCTAGTACTGCGATCCTGTCCTATCCTTTATTACGGTCTAGTACTGCGATCCTGTCCTGTAGTAACATCTGAGTGTTTGCGACTGGATTGCGTTCCAGTCTTTATTCAGTACGTTTTCGATTGCGATCTCCCATCACTATGGGTTGTGTTCTGCGCCAAATTTGTGGCATTTCTTCGCCCCTTGCATTACGGTCAGACGCGTTATTACCCACCGACTATCGAGTTTTACGTTTTCAGAGTCTCAAATCTACGTCTTCCGTGCTTGCAGACATCCGCCCAAGTGCTTTCCGAGTGGACTTTGTCCTGCAGGAATCGGGTATAGAAGAGGTACGTCGACGTTTTATTATGGGCTTTCCTATGTGATCTTGGGAGTTTTAGTAGGGACAATAATAAGGTGATCTTGGGAATTCTAGTAGGGACGTTAACTATGTAATCTTGGAAATTCTAGCAGGGACGTTATCTATGATATCTTAGGAATTCTATTAAGGACATTAAGTATGTGATCTTCGGAATTTCAGTAAGGGCGTTAACATGTGATCTTAGGTATTTCGCTCTATGTACTGTATTCTATAACTGAGCATCAGACACTCAACACGTGCCATCGCGGATTGATGCAATCGAGAGAACACCAGCATAGCTTGCCTACATGCACCTATACGTTCAAACACATTCGCTTTCGCCGAGTATTCTAACAGGCGTACACATCTGCGTATGCAGAAGCATGTTCGAGTTTAGTCTCACCACATACATTGCTTGTTGCTCATCGCCGCACCTCTTTCAACCCTTTTTTTTATGTTCATATTGACTGTTGGTGTGCTACTTTTTTATCTTGTTGTATATATATGGTTTTTTAATAGTATTGAATTACCACACTCGCAGGTCTCCACCAGTGCTATAACCGCCCTCAAAGCCCACAGTGAATACTGGACATCGCTGGATACGGCCTTTGTGGTACTATCGCAGATGATCAAGAAAAGGTAATGCAAGCGCGGCTGGAAACATATAAAGCTCTATTATTCCTCTATACACACACATATATATATATATATGTGTGTGTGTGTGTATCTATATATATCTATATATATATCTATATCTATATCTATATATGTATATGTATATGTATGTAT